ATGGTGATGATGGTGGCGATGATGATGATGATGATGATGATGACAGCGATGGGACCTGGTGGAGGCAAGTCAGTGTTTTAATATGACGCATGTTAATGGAGGCCTCGGGGTGGCTGGCCTTTTCTGCGAGCGTACGTCCACGCTGAAGACAACTGAGGGTGACAACATTAATTACAGCCTCTGCAAGTGTTTACAGACCCACTTTGTGTGTGTGTGGGGGTGTGTGTTGATGCAGTGTGTGTGTGTTAACAACAAGGCTTGAGGGAAAGCTGAACACTGCATCACTTACCATTTGGCCTCTGTCACTTAGAATCACTGGCTGTGCCACATATCATTCACACTCTCCATAAAGAAGCTACTTATCTCTGTGTCTACTGCAATCACCACCAGCCCGGTGATGGACATGACAGCACAGAAGAGGGGATGAGGAGGAGGACTAGCAGGAGGAAGAGGGGATAGCCGGGCCGGGAAGAGGGGAGTCAAAAGAACAAAAGAGGAAAATGTGCAGAAGGAACAGAATGTGAGAAGAAACTGATATAAGGGAGGATAAAGAAAAAAACCTGAGAAGGAGGAAAGAAAATATTTCCCTTCAGAAAACAAAGAAAGTGGCAGAATAAAGAAGAAGAGTCAGAACAAAAGGAAGAGATGCAAAAACAGTGAGGAAACAGTCATAAAGGGAAGAACAAAGAGAAAAAGAGCCGACAGAAATAAAAAGATAAAAGCTACGAAGAGGGAAACTAGCCTCTTCATACTAGATGACAGTTCTGCTTTGCTCCACATCATCTGTGCTCCTGCGTCCCAAAGAACCACACTGTGGGTCAGGGAAAAACAAGTGACCAGAGATGGATTTCGAAAACAAAATATTATTATGATAMAAACAGCTGTCATCAATTTAAAGAAAATGTTCAAACAAATGTTTAGGTTGTTGGGTTTGTCACTGTGTTTTGTTCTCGTTTTGTTTTTACTCTTAAACCAGTGTTCAGTGGAAGCAGTAAACCTCTGCTGTTAGTTTGTAGGTCAGGATCTGAGAAGTTTGAGAATCACTGACCTAAACAACATATTAGAACGTAGTTGAATCACAGCAGAGCTGGAAACTTTCCTCCAGTGTGAAGGCAACATGAGCACTGCTGCGCTCTTCAGTTCTTCAGGTTTTTTTTGGATCCTGGAGACACCTCCTGCATCCTTATCAAGCTCTATGTGCCCATGATTCTTTATCAGGATGCAGAATGCCATGCTAGCACTATGCTACCACCTCAGGTTTCACATCTCATCTAATCACAGTAACATTTGTAGTAGGGATGCACCGATAGGAAAATTTAAGCCGATATCGATATCCATGTTGCTGTTATTGCCGATAACCAATATTTTACAGATATTACGCAAACACACAAATAATTTATATATACGTACAAACACACTTGTGTCTTTTTTCTATAAAAAACAACCAGATCGCTCTCTACTTAATTATTCCTGGCTGCGCAGCATCACTATCACTATCATGCTGAAACAGATACCACTTGACCAACCATCTCCCTCCTAAAACAGAAACACAAACAGCAACAAGCAGGAAATCAACACTGAGTGGTAATATTGGCTCCGCTTGATTTATTGGACCATTACGATGTGCTAAAAAATGATCAACATCGGCTGATACTGATGTCAGTGCTGATATACCGCGCATCCCTCATTTGTAGCCTTGGATGAGGCCAATGTGGCCAGTCCTGCTTCAGCATCACAGTTATGAGAGAACCTGATGTCCGGCGTACGTTGTCACCACGTGTACCACTCAAGATCCCAATGTGATGCTTATACATACAGATTAAACACCACCACAACCTCGCTAACTCAGTTTTGTACAGGCTGAAATCCCTCCATGACCGATCATGAGTCTGAAGATCACACTAAAAAGCTGCAGACCGTCCACATTCTGGCTGATGTTTTTACATCGTAGCAAGGTTGTCATCCAGTGTGAAGGGGGCTTTAAGGAAAGGGAGCAGAGGGGATGAAAAGTTAAAGGAAAAGCCTGGCTGTCTGAATCAAGCTGTTTACAGTGAGTGSCACTCAGATGCATGCAAATACATTCCCAAAGTTTGGCACAGACAAATGCCGCTCTGCTTCATTAGGATGCACAATTCCATCTCTCTAATTGGCATGCAATTAATAATGTATACGATTTGTCACAGGTCACTATCTGCAGCAAATCATGTCCCAGTTTAAAAAATAGAGACAGCTGCCCGGCCCAGGGCAGGAAGGACTCACAGATCGGCTGTCACACCCAGCTGAACAAAAAGATTCAGTGTGATTTATTTGCCAGCATGCAGGAACGTAGCAGCAGACGTATAAGTGAAGTCAGACAATGACAAATAGTTGTGAATGTGAATCCTCGTGCATAATATTCTCCATATCTCATGTCAGGGTCGGTGGGTGGATAGAGCTGCTGTGAGGGTGATGTGTGTGTGTGTGTGTGTGTGTGTGTGTGTGTGTGTGTGTGTGTG